ACGTACCTACGTACCTACGTACCTACGTACACACGTACATACATACATACATGCATGCATGCATGGATGCATACATACATACCTACCTACCTACCTACCTAACCTACCTACCTACCTACCTACCTACGTACCTACGTACCTACGTACCTACGTACACACGTACATACATACATACATACATGCATGCATGCATGCATGGATGCATACATACATACCTACCTACCTACCTACCTACATACCTACGTACCTACGTACCTACGTACCTACGTACCTACGTACACACGTACATACATACATACATGCATGCATGCATGCATGGATGCATACATACATACCTACCTACCTACCTACCTACCTACCTACCTACGTACCTACGTACCTACGTACCTACGTACCTACGTACACACGTACATACATACATACATGCATGCATGCATGCATGGATGCATACATACATACATACACAGACATACATACCTACCTACCTACCTACCTACCTACCTACCTACCTACGTACCTACGTACCTACGTACCTACGTACACACGTACATACATACATACATGCATGCATGCATGGATGCATGAAAAACTGTTCATACCAAGCCATCAGTTAATGCTTTTTGAATAGCAACCAAATGCAGCACCATCTTTTTTAGTGCAGAGCTTGTTCCTTTCAGGAAGCAGCTCCAAAAGGAAGCAGCATGGTGGGGGATTGGCTTCCACCACATCCATGCTGGTTGGTTGTCATCTTTGCGACCGGAGAATGTTGCTGAGCAGTCTCTTGGAGTGTTTAGAGCAAACAAATCTTGGCAGCCTTGAGCATTAAGAAATGTAACAGGAAACTGCTTTTCCTGCTGTGTAGCCCTTCAAGATCATCATTGCCATGAAACAACAAAGTTCTTAGGCTGAAGCAGCTGATGGCTTTCCTATCTATTCATTCTGGTCCCGTGCTGTTCCACTGCGGGCGTGGAACCTCGTATTCATGCAGCATCGCTTGCTTAGCACTCATGGTCATGAAGAATGCCACATCAGGAAAAGCTGTTTCCTGGAAGCATTGATGCACCAGCCAGCACCTAGTCTAGTCCTTGTAGATGACCGACCTTGGGATACATGGGATACATGGGATACATGGAATACAGGCGTGAGACATCAGCACTCTGTGACAGCAATTGTGGACAACTGACTAACAAGATAAGGACCATTCTCTGGTGATCATTCACAGTGTGGGGTAGCAGGGGTTCAACCTTGAATGTGTCACAGCACCCTTCCAAGGTTGATGAAATTTGCGCTCTTCGCAAGCCGGACGTGACCTGCCAGTTGAAGATGGCCAATATCTTTGAGTGTCTTGGCATTGGATGCAGAACAATTTGAGCTCCATGACTTTATTGGCTGGTGAAAGCACAAAGATCAAGCAACCTAGGCTACTTTTCGTGGCATCCCAACACCGGCTTGAGCTGCAGACCATACTCTTGGGGGGCGACGCCTCGTCTGGACCCCCCCAAAGCCCATAGTCTGGACCCCCCTCTCGCCCTCTCGCCCCCCTCTGCCCCCCCCTCCCCACCCCTCGCGCCCCCCTATCGCCCCCTCTCGACACCCCTCCCCCCCTCCCCCGGAAATTCCCACTCTAGCCCCTTCGCCCCCGTCTCGCCCCCCTTCTCGCCCCTCTCTCGCCCCCCAGCCGCCCACCATCCCTCTAGCCCCCATCTCGCCCTCCTCCCTCTTAGCCCCCCCCCCCCCCCCCTCTCCCCCCCCTCTCGCCCCCCTCTCGCCCCCGTCTCGCCCCCCCTCTCCCCCTCTCGCCTCTGCCTGCCCTCTCGCCCTTTCTTTTGTGGCCTTTGCCATCTGACGTCGCTTTAGCGTAGCGGGCGTAGTCCTGCCCTCTCCTATCCATGGCCTCTGTCTCGCCCCCTCTCGCCCCCTGCGAGTCCATCAATCCCTCTGGCTCCCATGCAGGTTTGCGTGGCATGCGTGGCGCTCGGTGACATCCAGTCTGCTTTTGCGTGTGTGGCGAACATGGCGCCGGCCTTTCTGGTGGTGCTGTTGGGCGCAGTTGATGTCGCTGCCGCCGCTGCCCTGACGTCTACATTTCTACTGTGCTTCACTGTGACAACTGACGTCACTGACTGTGTCATGCGTCCCGCTCGCCCCCCTCTAGTCACTATAGTCCCTCTCTCTGGCTCCCATTCACCTTTCTGCAACAGGCGGGGAGGTGACATCCACGCTGCTGCTGCGCCGCAGCCGTGGCACAGATTGAACTACGTCTTTCCCAGATATGGCACCTGATGACATTTGGCTTTCTGGTTCTGTTTGACATCTGACGTCACTGTAGCGTAGCGGGCCCCGTCTTCCCCTCTCGCCCCCTCTCCGCCCCTCCTCTCACCCTCTCGCCCCCTCTCGCCACGGTCTCGCCCCCCTTATCGCCACCTACCGCCCCCTCTCGCCCCCTTTCGCCCCCTCTCGCCCCTCTCGCCATCTCTTGCCCCATTCGCCTCCTTTCGTCCGTTCTCGCCCCCTCTCCGCTCCCGTCTCCCCTCTAGCCCCCCTCTCGCAACCCCAGTTTCTCGCCCCCCCCTTGGCCCCCTTCTCCCCCGTCTCGCCTCCCTCTACTCCTCTTGCTCTTGATGCCCGCTCGCCCCTCTTTTTAGCCCTTTTTGCCATCCGACGTCACTTTATATAGCGGGCGTGGGCCTGCCCTCTCCTAGCCACGGCCTCTGTCTCGCCCCCTCTCGCCCCCCGCGAGTCCATCGATTCCTCTGGCTCCCGTGCACTTTTGTGTGGCATGCGTTGCACTCGGTGACATCCAGTCTGCGTTTGCATGTGTGGATCGTTTGACATCCAAAGTTTGGTTGTCTCAATATCACCAGATGAGTCCCAAGATTCCATTGTTTCAAACAGTTGGTTGGCTGAGCAACCCATTGTTGATTATTTAGACTTTAGACCATTCCTGCCCAATGATTCTTGCTTAGACAGCAGTTCGTTTGAGAGACCGCGATGTTTTTCTTAGATTCCAATTTCTGTCCTTCTTCCTTTTGTGCTTACACCTGGTGCTGAAAATTCCTTCTTGATATCCATGTTTCATCAGGTTTCAAATGTCAAGTATTTTCCCATTAAAGTCAGAAAAAACATGGACCATCTTCCTGATTTCATGAATGCTCCCCCCCACCCTAAAGCATCGTATCCCATGATAAAATGTCCTCTTCCTAATTCCATGAATGTCCCTCCCCCCCACCCTAAAGGGTCGCATCCCATGTTTAAAATTCCAGTGACCCTGTGGCCTCCTCTCGCCCCCCTCTCGCCCTGTCTCCCATCGCGTTTGCCTCCCTCTCGCCCTCTCTTTCGTGTCCCATGATAAAGTTTCCTCTTCATGATTCCATGAATGCCCCCCTCCCCCACCCTGAAGGGTCGTATCCCATGATAATGTTTTTTCTTCCAGATTCCATGAGTGTCCCCCCCCACCCTAAAGGGTCGTATGAAGGTTCCCCACCCCCCACCCTAAAGGGTCGTATCCCATGATAAAATTTCTTCTTCCAGATTCCATGAATGGGTCGTATCCCATGATAATTTTTTGGTTACTAATTCCATGAGTGTCCCCCCCCCCACCCTAAAGGGTCGTATCCCATGATAAAATTTTTTCTTCCTGATCCCATGAGTGTCCCCCCCCCGCCCTAAAGGGTCGTATCCCATGATAAAATTTCTTCTTCCTGATTCCATGAATGTTCCCCCCCCACCCTAAAGCGTCGTATCTCATGATATTTTTTTCTTCCTAATTCCATGAGTGTCCACCCCCCCACCCTAACGGGTCGTATCCCATGATAATTTTTTTTCTTCCTGATTCCATGAGTGTTCCCCCCCCGCCCTAAAGGATCGCATCCCATGATAAAATTTCTTCTTCCTGATTCCATGAATGTTCCCCTCCCCCGCCCTAAAGGGTCGTATCCCATGAGAAAATTTCCTCTGACCCTCTGTCCCCCTCTCTGCTCCGCCCCCTCTCCGCCCCTCACACCCACTCATCCCGCCCCCTCTCTTCTTCGCCCCCCTATCCCAAAGCCACTCGTTTGGACCCCCCCTCTCGCCCCCTCTCGCTCCCTAAAATGGGGGGGTCCAAATGAGGGGCTTTGGGGGGGTCCAAATGAACCCCCGGCCCATGTAATCGACATGTAATATTTATTATGATACAATTACATGTAATCGGCACCTCAGTGAATACAACCAGCTTGGATTCGCAATCTCTGGTACTTTAACATGGCAACTCAAAATCCTGGATGAAAGCAGATGACCTACGCATGAACGGATGGAATTATGGCATTTCCCAAATCCCGCTTCGATTCTCAGAGAGTAATCCAGAATGTTGAACATACACCTTTCTGCATATAAATGTGTCTCATACAACCTGTAATAATGTGTATATTACCAATGTATATATTATTACTCCATATTACTCCAAAATATATGTATATATTGCATATATATATAAACACCTACACAAGTCTGTGTATTTATATTATATATGCCAAGTGATGTGATTAAGAAAGAATGGGGATGTGAGGTGAGACAAATGATTAACAAAAGTACTGCAACATGAGGATAGCATAATCATTGCAAACTGCACATGTGCACATAGCTTCGCAACTACAGGTGTCCGGATCTAGGTGTGTCAGCACATAGCAAAGGTGTACATGCGAGAGGTGATTTCCCACCTTCGACCCAAAGTTTTTGGGGATTGGGTGGTCTGAATGTTTCCAGTTTGTTTACAAACCTACCTACCTGACTCTTGAAATCAGATTTAGTGGAGCATCATCTCTCAAACCCCATCACAAAGCTATTGTTGTTATCATTCCATGGGGCAGGTCACGCAGTCCATTGGGAAACTCCTTAAGGAACAGTTCCATCCAAACACAGGGGATGCTCTTGGAATTTCCCCTTTGAACATCTTTTCGCCATGTTAGAATATGTCGAATGCGTGGACCAAATCTCCCGGGCTTCTTGCTCCCATGCTGTCGAGGAACCGGTGCTGAAGGTATTGATCGAGGCGAGTGGCACGGAATGCTGGGAATTTGATACGACAAGGGGTGCAATAACCAGCGTTCTAAGCAACACCTAGCATGGTAACTGAACCAACATATGGGTATAGTTCTATATTTGTATACGAGAGCCATCAACGTGGGGGTGCCAACTCATTTTGAGCAGCAACTTTGGGTCAAATTTATCAACGCGCCGAAGATGGTGGGGTTCGGGAGTAGCATTTAAAACCCCCCAAGATTCTATGTTTTTGGTTGGTTCATTATCCATTTTGGTCGGTCGGTAGATGATTGTTTCATCTTAACTGTCTTAACTTATATCTCTATCTTCTCGCTAATGTTTTCCCGAATGCGTAGCCAGGGTTCCCGTGTCACTCTGGGGGTCTGCGGGGTTGAGGGTGTGTTCGCTCGACGTTGCGTTTACGTCCGCAACCGTTTGCAACCGTTCGAAAACGTTCGCAACCGTTCGCAACCGTTCGCAACTGTTCGCGGGCGAGCGTGTGAGGGCCGTATGGCCATACCTATGGTAAGTTCTGCAAAAGGGGTTCTTCTGCCGTCGCCGTGTCTATGGGGGAAGCTGCCAAACCTCTCCTTTTCGAAGGTTTCCACGCAGATTGTGATGTCGTATTGCGTGGCAAGCGTGGCGCTTGGTGATATTCTCATGTGTCTGCAAAGGGGTCGAAAGTCGTTTTGTGGTTTTGTGTGGCAGGCGCAATACTTCTGCGTCCTTTTCAGAAGATGGGTTGCACTTTTCGTGGCAGGCGCGGCACTTTGGAGACATACATAGTCATCTTGCATGGCAGGTGCAGCGCTTCAGACGTGTTGCGTTGCGTGTTTTTGGCGAATACCGCTGTCAGGGCTGCGTCAGGTGGTGACAATGTGCAAAATCGGTGGCAGGCGCGGCATGTTGTGACATGTGATGACACTTCACACTCTACACTCTACACTCCACAATCTACACTTTACACTCCACACCTTACATTCTACCCTTTACACTCCACACTCCACACTCTACGGTCCACACTCCACACTTTACACTCCACACTCCACGCTATACACTGTACACTTCACACTCCGCACTTTACACTTTGACCTTTATGCTTTGACCTTTACACTCTACACATTGCACTCCACTCTTCGCACTCCACACTTTACACTCCACGCTTTACACTTCACACTCCACACTGTACACTTTACACTCCACACTTTACACTTTACACTCCACACTCTACACTCTACACTCCACCCTCGACACTTTACACTTTACACTCCACAGTTTACACTCCACACTCTACACTCTACACTTTACACTCCACACTGTGCACTTTACACTCCGCACTCTACACTTTACACTCCACACTCCACTCTTTACACTTTGCACTCCACACTTCACACTTTACACTGTACACTCTACACTGTACACTCCACTCTAGCTGTGTGCCTGCATACTATGGTGGATATTCCGAAGGGTGTAACCCATCGTGCCATTTTGGGCTCAAGTGCTGAGCTGGTCCAGCACTAGCCCCTGCTGCTCCCCTTTTCTCCAACCTATCAAATGGAAGGAGACCCAGCTTCCTCAGACCTCCTGAAGTAATCTTCGAACATCAAAAGGACTCTCCTACCTCGACTTGGATTCCATTCTTTGGCTTTTCATCTCTGAAATTGTGAATTTTAGTTGCTAGACCACCTTGGTTGAGCGGGTTAACGCTGCCGACAACTTGGTGTCAAGAGTGATGAATTTGCCCGGTTCTTGCAGCTTCTCTTCCAACTTTTCCTGTCAGGTCTTGTTGTCGAAGACTTCATTGAGCCGAATCCAAGCCTCATCGGGTTTGTCCGAACAGGACTTGACCTCGTCCCTGACGTGATTTCGCCAATGGCGGTAAGCCTCAGGGGCGGGCATGTCGTTCAATTTGATGGTCTCTGCCTGTTTTGGGCGAGGCTTCTCACCGCCCGCATCTTTTGATGTCAGTCGTCCAGAAAGACCAGCACCTAGATCTGCTGTCTTGAGCTTGTCGGTTTCACTAACTGCAATTGTCGGGCTACGCACACTAGGTTCGCGTTGCGCGGTGTCCTGCTGATGTCCTTGCACTGGCAAGTGGTGGAAGTTGCGGGGGGGCTGTTGAACCTGCTGGGGTAGTTGAGAACACGCTGTGCAATATTTCCCTGGCCTCTGCAGCTAGATTACTTGCTGTGTTTGGCATGGGCGTTGCCCCAGCCTCTACATTCGCATTTCCTTTTGGTGTTGCGAACGCTTCGACTGGGATGTCATGTCCACCTTGATCAAGTTCCTCGATCCTAAGAGTGGGGACATTCTGCTTGTTCAACTTCTCCACAAGTTCATCTATCCCTTCCTGGAGCTGATAGTTGAGTTCTGCAGCTTGCTCTTCTTGCCTGTTGCATTCCTCCATGATCTCCTGGATCATTGCTCGTTCCTCTTTCTTGAAATCCTCCATTCCTTGCCTTGCGTAGTCGACTGTTTCGTCCACAATTTTCTTACAGTCAGCTTCAAGATTCATCTTGAGTTCGGAATACCTTTCCTCGTACCGCCTGGCGTCAAAAGAAACCTTTTGGTTCGACCTTTGCTCTGCCTCCAGTGCTACAGCATTCGCAGCATTCTTCAGTTTCGCATTTGCGTCGCTGAGTTCCTTCCTCAAGTTCATGATTTCCAGTTCAGCTACCGTACGGGACATCATGTAGTTGGCCAGTTCTGCTGTGACTTGTTCATGTCGCATGTCAGCATTTGCACGCTGTTGAGCAAGCTCATTGAAACAAGTCTGCTCGACATTCAGACTGCGATTTTCGTAATCCTGACACAGTTGCTGTACCATCTGCTCCATGATTTGGCTATGCCTTTCCTCTGGCTTCCTGTCTGATATTGTCAATGTTGCCCTCATTTGTATACGTGAGATTGTTTTGCACAAACTGGAAATATGCCTGGACAGGCTGATAGAAAATTCCATCGCCTACCGTCATAGGCATGGGGTTTGTCCCAGCCGGGGTTGCAGCCGGAACTCCAGTTGTTGGGACCATTGAACCCGTTGCAGAAATTAGAGCACCACCAGAACTAGACCCGTCACCGCCTGGTCTCTCCATGGCTATAGAGACTACGGCTGATAACTTGTATTTTCAGGCTTCAGCTGGGGTTATGCCTATAAACCCAAATGGACTGATAAGCCTAATGAAAACCGTTAAGCGAGCAGCTCTAGCGCTTTTTGTCCTGAGCCGCAAGGCTAGTCGCAATGCTAGTAATACATACTATAATACATGGTGTTTCATGGGCGTGTGCAACTGCACACACACAACACTTTACACTCCACGCTTTACACTCCACACTCTACACTCCACACTCTACACTCCACACTCTACACTTTACACTCCACACTCCACACTTTACACTTTACAGTCCACACTTTACACTTTAATTACACTCCACACTTTACACTCCACACTTTACACTTTACACTCCGCACTCTACACTTTACACTCCACACTCCACACTGTACACTTTACACTCTGCACTCCACACTTTACGCTTTACACTTCACACTCCACACTTTACACTTCACACTGTGCACTCTACACTTTACACTCCACACTTTACGCTCCACACTTTACACTTTACACTCCAGACTTTACACTCCACGCTCTACAATTTACACTTTACACTTCGCACTCCACACCCTACACTTCACACTCCAACCTCCACACTTTGCACTCGTGACTGCTCAAAAGTGTTCTAGCTGACTGCATTCGGGTTCGTGGGCTGCATCTTGTTTTTTTCGAGGAGAAGGTACGCCGACAATATCAACCCAGCTGGTACGCTAGCCCAAACCCCAATGATAGTTGTTGGATTGCAGGTTATACTTTGGAGTGACCCCCCCCACTAACAGTGGAATAATGGATTTTAATTGTAACTTCCCAGCCAAAATTGCACAACAACCCAGGGACCAAAACCACAAACAATTTGAGAGGCCCAATCTTCTCAATCCAAATTTTTCTGATGTTGAACCGAAGTATGAAATCACTCTGGGGGCAGCCTACTTGGAACCAGACCAAATCTATTCAGTTGGAGCTTGCAGAGATTTTGTTGGATAAAATCCCTTTCGGGCAAAGGGAAAGGCAGCAGTGCAGGGACGAGTTTGCTAAGGGACAAATTTTGCTAAGGGACAAATTTTGCTAAAGGGAAAATTTTGCTACGGGACAAGTTTTGCTAAGGGACAAATTTTGCTAAGGGACGAATTTTGCTAAAGGGAAAATTTTGCTAAGGGACAAATTTTGCTAAAGGACAAATTTTGCTAAGGGACAAATTTTCCTAAGGGACAAGTTTTGCTAAGGGACAAATTTTGCTAAGGGACGAATTTTGCTAAAGGGAAAATTTTGCTAAGGGACAATTTGCTAAGCGGCAAATTTTGCTAAGGGACAAATTTTGCTAAGGGACAAGTTTTGCTAAGGGACAAATTGTGCTAAGGGACAAATTTTGCTAAGGGACAAGTTTTGCTAAGGGACAAATTTTGCTAAGGGGAAAATTTGGCTAAGGGACAAATTTTTCAGTGACAAGTTTTGCTAAGGGACAAATTTTGCTAAGGGAAAACCCTTGCTTGCTGTCGTGCTTTTTTTTGTGCTCTCGGCCGTGCTTTTGGAAAAGGTAGAAAATATCAAAAGCACAACTTCCCATGCAAAAAGAGCACAAAAAGTGCACAACTTCCCTGATGATTTAACCACAAAAATTAGCACCACAAGCAGCACAACTAACCACAAGAAAACGCACAAAAAAACCACAACGTTTAGGCTTAAAGGGCACAACTTCCCTGATCATTTTTGCACAACAACAAGCAAAGGAAAACATATAAACACCTAATTTAATTTATATTTGGCACCGACCACAACTTCATCAACAAAAAAAGCACAAAAAGTGCACAACCTCCCTGATGATTTGACCACAAAAATTAGCACAACAAACCTCACAACTTCATCAACAAAAAAAGCACAAAAAGTGCACAACTTCCCTGATGATTCGACCACAAAAATTAGCACAACAAACAGCACAACTAACCACAAGAAAACGCACAAAAAAAACCACAACGTTTAGGCTTAAAAAGCACAACTTCCCAGCCCAAAAATTTACAACCGCAGCCCCCCCCAAATCCCAGGTTGTCCTGAACCTGCAGTCGACTAGGGCCTGCCGGCCCAGCCTGAGCCTGGATCCTGCTTGAGGGCCGTGCCACCCGTTAGTGTGGCCAGCTCTGGCACCCGTTAGTGTGGCCAGTTCTGGCACCCGTTAGTGTGGCCAGCTCTGGCACCCGTTAGTGTGGCCATCTCTGGCACCTGTTAGTGTGAAGCCCCAGGTTAGCTTGAACACTAGGCAGCCAAGTCAATGAAATGATTCATGTGATTCATATGATTCGATATGAAAAACCTTCGGCCAATGATACTTTTAAACTGAGAAGCAAAGCTTTTCAAAGTAAAGACTAGGGTGTGTCAGAGTATCAGCACACATGATTCTGTCGCATGCGTCATATGTAATGAGATGTGATTGTTTTTTTCTGTGATAAGTCATATTAGTCATGAATAAATTTTATCCAACAAAATCACTCTGGGGGCAGCCTACAAAGCATAAACCCATTTATTTGGTGGGCCTCCTTTGGTTCGATAGGATGGTGCATAATCTGAGTCTCTGTACTGGATTGCCCTGGATTTTTCAATATACAGACCTAAGCTCTCATTGGCCTTTTCCGGTCAAAGTATATACAAACCCAACTTCTTTATGAACTATTTGGTTCATGCCGTGAAAACCCCAACTTCTTTGTGGGTTGGTAGGCTGACAAAATGCGCCAACCCAACTTCTCAATGGCATTTTGGGTCCATCGTGCTTGTGTTTTTTTTTGTGGTCTGGATTGTGGTGACTGTTAGTGTAAGGGGGACAGTCCAAGTTATACTATCTTATTTTGTGTGGTACATCACACCAAGCAGGACTAGATATGGGATTTATATGGATTTATACCATTTCATCATCTTTCATAAGGGTTATGTTTAGGTAAAAAAAATATCCAAACTTCCAAAGTGTCTCAGAGATTTTGCAGCCAGGCCAGGGCCAATTTGACGCAGAAACGACGCTGGGGTGGAGAATCCTCCTTGCTTTGTATGGTGGTTCGGAATCCTCAGCTCTGGGCAGGGGGGTTCCCGAAAAAGGAGACAATTTGCTGTATGGTTAATGTATGCAATATTGAATGATATAAGATCTATGATATGTATTCATTAACAATCATGATTATGTTGAGCATTATTTAAACATAATGTGTACAAACGCCTTACAGTTTGACCCATACTGACGTTGAAACAAGATGAGATTAGCGATGTTCCATCCACGAAGCTGTGAGATGATCTGCTTCATGTTCGCGGGGTGACACGGGGTAATTGGATGATCATCAGACACTCAGTAGGGGAAGCAGCGTGATTGCATGGTTCAGTTTTCGTTGGATAGGGAATAATTGACTTGTTCAATACAGAAATGGTCATCCAAAATGGGTTCCAATACCGCATTGTTGTGGGACATTTCCCCAACTTTGTCAGAGATGAACTTCTGAATCATCTCTGCGAGTTAGATGCTGGAGGATTTTAGCAGATTAGATTCCGATAGGATATGATCTGATGATTCTGATGATCCCCTCACAGCTGGTAGCTTCAGGCCAACAACGAGGACAGCCAGTGTGAGGCCCTGAAACTTTTGTTGGCTCATGGCTGCACCTTGGCAATTGATCGGATTTATGTGGAATATCTGAAAAATACGGTAAGAGACAGTGGAAGGGGATATAAAAATGCATGGGGAAAACATATGGATAGGGGAAACATATGGATATATGATGTGTATATACCCATGCATTGAGTTTGGCAGGCTTGGGTGTGCATGTATCATCTTTAAGTGATTCAATGAATGCTATCATTTTGGCTCAAGTGGAGTTGAACCAAAATAGCATTCATTGATTTTTCTTTCTTGGTCTTGGTAAGGGGTGACCTTCCTAGACCTTGATCGATTGGTACCAGGGGTGACCTGGGGGGCAACAGGGGGCGACCTTGTATGCAGCGCAAACTTCCTGGCATCGACATTCCAGCGGCCACTGAGGCGAAGATCCTTCATGCAGCTGCCTTCCTGGAATTCAAGCAGCACGTGGAGAGGCTGGCAAGGGTTGGGTCAGATCTGCAAGCTTACACCTGCTGGATGCATGGGGTTGAAGTTTGCCACTCCCCCTATGTCATGGCCACGGGGACTGACTCAGATTTTTTTTCCCCCTTTGCCGAAGATGCCCTGTTGCGTTGATGACTGCCAGCGTTGCACAGCCCACTTTGGCGGGTTCAAGTTCCCCTGGCTCGGATTGTGGAACAGCCGAGGTGTCGTGCTGCCCGCAGATGTGGCTCCCAACAAAGCTTGGGATTACTACTATCGGCACCAGGACCCTATGGACCTGTTGCTGGTGGCGGCTTACACGAACTTCAAGGTTGCATCCGACATGGTTCCCCAGGAGCTCTATGCGCTTCAACTCAGATGCACAGCGGGTGACGCTGGGCAGCTGGGTTTGGGGGAATTCTTCGACCAGTGGCGCAGATGGCTCAGGTGTATGGGCGGCCGAGAGATCCTGCCAGCCTTCATCGGCTTTTCCCTCGGGCTCCCAGGGGGCGACCCTGAGCCTGGGGACAAGAAGGAGCACGCGCACATCGGGCGCTTTGTGGCTGGCTGGAGGGGCAGAGCTCAGGCACACTTCAGCCTGGGACGGCCTGCGCTGACTGCGGGGATCCTACAAGGCGCGTGTGCTGGTCGTGCTGCGTGGGAATGTGCAGTGTAGTGCCTGCTTTACTTGGATGCAGCCATGTGGGCACTGCGGAGGACGTAGAAAGATGCTGTCAGAAGGTTGACATTATGACAGAGGAGGATCCTCTGGGTTTACCGCAGCAGCTTTTTGCTCTCCGCACCTTAGCAATTCTGTTAGGGTGCAGTGCCATGGCATCAGGGGGCAAAGGCATACTACGCAGCACAAGCAGCAGCCTCCTCCTCGTCAGGGGGTGACCCTGCACCAGGATGGAGGGCAGCTGATTCACTGCTGATGATCGCTGCGCAGAGGGCGCGTCAGTGGAGGGAGTCAGAAGGCCTCTTGGACGACAACGACTTCGCCTATGCCTCTACGGACTACGACCAAGTAGTCGGGCTGGCCGGTCATCACGTCGCCGATGATCGGCTCCAGGCGAGAGCAAGAGTTGAAGAAGAGCTCCTTGCAGCTGGGGCCAAAGTCGTGGAGGACAACCCTAAGGGTTCAGTGACTCTCCGCCCTGTCCGCAAGACGATCTACAAGAAGAAGCCCGAGGCCATCAATGTGGACAAGAACCTCAGCGAGGCCGTTCAGAAGAGGGTCAATGGCCTCTATGGCCATGGTATGGGCTCCTACAAGTCGGCGGGCATCCTCACAGATGCTCTCAAGGCCGAATGGAAACAGACCTGCATGAGGGTGGTCGAGAAGAAGCTCAAAGAAGCTGAGAAGGCCACCGTCGACCGAGTGGTGAATACCTGGCTAGAGCTGAGAGCCTTCCTGGAGAGTCCGGGGCGACCCGCTCCTCCAGAGATGGTGGACTTGGACCAGTACCTGAACCACGCTCAGGCACCAGCTAGAGCACTCCAGGCCTTGAAGTGGATGAACAAGAACGCCAACCAAGAGCTGGACCTGAGCAATCTGCAGGTGCCAACCACACCCAGTGCGACTGGGCAGCGTGGCCAAGCACCAGTGGTGGAGCCTCCTTTGGTGCAAGCATTGGAGGACCGCATTGTGGAACTGCATGCGGTTGGAGATGAGAGGCGGTCAGTCCTCCTGGCCCCTTGGGTCATGGCGTTTGGCTGTTTGAGGTATGCGCATACAGCGCGATCAGAACCTCGCCGCCTCACTGCAGCATTCCTCCATTGCAGATGCCCCAAAGGCAAACAAAAGCATGCTCGCGACGGGTTCGATTTTGCAGTGCCAGCATGCTTTTCCAACGGCTTCTTTTGGGCCAAGGAAGTCTTGGAGGCCCATCGAACCTTGGCACCAGCACGACAGCGAGTAGCCGGGCTGTGCTTCTCCGACGAGGGGCGTCCATGGACCATCTTGGAGGTTCAGGAGACCATGCAGAGCGAGATGGCCGTCTTGTTGGATAACCCGGAGGAGATCACCACGTACTCCTGGCGTCGCATGGCACCGACGCTGGCGCAGTTGCTGGAGTGCCGCCCAGAGGAGATGGCCGCGTTGGGGGACTGGCAGAACAAGAGCGACCAGCCGGATGTGGGCCAAATGGCCTTCCACTACTCGTCAGCAAAGTATGCGGCCTCTATCAAGATCAAGTCGCCTCTACGGTGACGGACCAACTCTCTTGGGAGGCGATCCCACAGGCAGAGTTGGACAAAGCTCGCAGTCATGGGCTGGCTGAGGCGGAGAGACTGCTTCGGCAGGACCGACAGCCGATCTGGGCTTCTTCCCAGAAATTCCAGGACGTGCGGAAGCGCCTTAAGTTGTCGCAGCAGTTCATGGAGGCGGCAGAGAAAGCTAGGCAAGAGGCGGATGCCTCTGCACAAGGGTTTGGCTAAGTTGCAAGTGCCGCGAATGCCAGCTTTTCTCTCTGTGGGGCGCCAGGAGCATTGGCTTGACATGGATCCTCGCGCAATGAGTGAATGGGCGCCGCTTGCAGTGACTCTCGGCTTGACAGAAGCCTTGCGAGCTGGACGACCGGGGTTACCAGTCAGAAAGCTTGCGACGGATGTCATGCTCGAGAACAACAGCCTGCCGGCCAAAGCAGTCTATGTGGGGCGAGGCAGCTCCCACCATCGCCTTTCCACTACCAAATGGAGATCCCCTTGGACACCAGGCCACAACTGTGAGGCTGGCGAATGGCCTGCCAGGTATATCGTCCACATCAGGACGTCCCCACTTTGGGATGCATTACCAGAGCTGGCAGGGCTGACGCTGGTCTGTGACTGCCCCATGGACCAGTTGTGCGAGGCCGACATTGCCACAACACCTGAGAGCGACCCAGCTAGCAGGGGTTCAGAAGGCAAGTGGAGCCGCACAGTCGCCTTACTACAAGGTATCCAAGCACTGCTAAAAAGGCGTAGCCTTGCCCATGATGAGCCAGGAAGCTCTGGTGTTATCATTCCGCAAGCTGTTCCCAGAGCATTGGTTCCAGAACAACAAGTTCGCCATGGTGGAAGACTTCATCAACAGCCCCCCATTTTGCTGATACTCAGCCTGGCTGGCTGAGCGTGGAGAGGCTTGGGACGGGCCCTTGGTTCCCCATTTGGCGGCAGGAGCTGTGCGCCAGCTTGCCCGGATTGGGGACGGCTGCCAACTCGGAGCCATGACACATCGAGCAGCTTTACCGCCACTGCTGCCCTTCAACTTGGACCAAGACGCTCATTTCGGACGAGCGTTGCAGAGAGCGCAACAACCTGTGCCTTACGAAGACTTACCAGTGTCTGACCTTGACCTCGAGTACGTAGCTGATGCATGCGTAGCTCCGCGCACATCACTGCGAGCTTGGAGACAACAGGCTGGCTGCGTCAACTGAAGAGGCGCTGGGAGGGGGTGACCCTCCATTTGCATTCTTTTCAAGAGCCAGCAGTGCGCCAATTGACAAGGCAACGGGACATAGGCTTCATCGCTTTGTTGATGATCCTCACATCTTGCGCCGACACCAGCTTCCTATACGGGCTGGTCCGAGGGCTGCCAGCGGTGGGATATGCACCGTTGTATGGCATCTTTCCTCAGCAGCCAGCTGAGGTGATCAGCATGGCAGACGTGCTAGAGGGATGGCAAGAACACAACCAACACATCTTGAACCAGCTGAAGGCCGGCAAAGATGATGCCTTCCCGCTGCAGCAGTCTATGGAGGACTCCAAGAATGGTTTCTGCACCCCCCCTCTGCGGCGAGCAGAGTTTCTCAAGCTCATTGGCAACAAGGCACATCGTTTGATCCCCCGGTGTGTCATTACTCAAAGTTCAGAGAGTCATCGACAACGGCGACACAGGTGGGCAGTCGGCCTTGTCATCTGACGCCAACAAGCTCACCTTGTGCAGCCCCGTGCGGCCGGCGCAACACATCAGTTTGGTGATGCACCGATGGTCGGCGGAAGACGTCGCCGAGTTTTGTCTACATGACGCCTGGGAGACAGGCCAAGAAGACCTATACCTCAGCCTACAGGTACTGCCCTATGTCACAGCAGGAGAGCTTAGGCTGCGTCGTGGTATGGTTCCATCACGAATGGCAGACCCCTGCATACCAAGTCTATATGCAGGCCTCCTTTTTGGGCTTCCGCTGGCCGTCACTTCTTTCAACAGATTTTCCCGACTGATGGAGGCATTGACCCGGCGATTTTGCCAAGTTTTGACATCATTGTATTTTGACGATGCAACCATCGCAGGTATACGTTCAGCCAAAGGCTCAGGCCAATGGGCGATGAACCAACTATGTCTGATGATTAGCTCCCCCTTTGCCGAAGACAAGAAGCAGACCATGCAGAGCACAGGCACCTTCTTGGGATTGACCCATGACCTCAGCAGCATCAACAAGACAGGTCATGTTGGTTTTTGGGCATGCGACAGATTCCATGACAAAGTTCGTGACATTCTGGCCACAGCACGAGGAACCGGCCACTTCAGTCGAGGTACAGCCTCTAAGCTCTACGGTCTGGCCAATTTCTTGGAACAAGGCATTTATGGCCGAGTGGGATATGGCGGCCTTATGGCAATCAATGCACGTCAAGACGAGAACACCACAGCCATGACCCCGGAGATTGAATCTTGCTTCGAGGTGATCGAAGCTGTGATGCGCTTTCAGCCAAAACGGGAATTTCCTGTCCTTCACCTGGAGCACCTGCGCTTTCTGGCGGCATCAGGTGCAGCAGTTGAAGCAGACAATCCAGGATCAGGTGGTTTCCACCTCATATTTTTCCAGCCTGACGGGACACAAATCCGTCTCAGTTTTGTAGCAACCAATTGCGCAGAGCTCCAAAGCTTATGGCAGCCTGCAGAGACCCACATCGCCCAGCTGGAGCTTTCTATGGTGCTCTACACCTTGGTCGAGCGCCCTGACCTTTTTCGACATCGACATGGCCTTTGGTTCCTTGACAATGTCGCCGCCGTTATGACATTAGTGAGAGGGCGTTCTAGCAATGCAGACTTAGCAAAGCTAGGTCATTTGATCCACTTAGCCCTGTTTGCACTGCGAGCCCAGGGTTACTGAGAGTACGTCCAGAGCAAAAGCAACTGGGCCGATGACATCAGTCGACTGGGTGTCAATGATCCTTGGTGACGCTGCATGGATTCCATTTTTATTCGTCATACCTCCCTACCATCTTTTTCCAACTGCCTTTCGTTGCAGTCGTTCTCACCTTTGAATTCCTTTAGTGCATTGGGGAGTTTAGTGCGTTGGGTGATACCTGCCAGAGCAGGTTCCGACCTGGAGGATCCAGGTAGCTGACCAGTGGCAAAACTGGTCTGAGGCTATGTACGTGTCACGCAGTGACTACCCAAAGCAAACCTGAGGATTGCAGGTGAAACAGACTTAACGTTGGCAGAGCTGTGAAAAAGAGAGACGCGAGTACGCGAGTAGTACGAGGTTTCATATGGCACTTTGAGATGTATGTATATATATATATGATGAGATATGATGCATATCTACTCTTCTCATCTCTTCCCCGTTTTTCTTGCTTCCCAGTTTTGACCCCATGGCATGCCATGGCATGCCATGGTAGCCGCCCAGGTAATGTGAATGCCAAGTGGACGGCTCACACCTCCTTCTTTGCGGGCGCCTTGAAGGTGTGCGCCTTGTAACCGTCGTAACTGTAATTCCTCTGACCCTCTGGATCCTGGGTATCGCCCCCAGATTGGGCGTTGTTTTGGGTCCCCAAGCTCAGGTGCCCAAAACTCAGCAAACGGCGCTATTGCACCTATTGCGCTGTCTTTCATTTTCGGAAGATTGTCTGCACAGGATCATAGCACATGCTCTGGATTTGTTTCAAGGGGGTGCATGTTCAACCCCTTTTGCCAGACCTGCCAACATGGTCCCCCACAAACAGACATAACAACCGCTGAACTCCCACATAAATTGCATTCCAATCCTGTACCTTCCCGACCCTCCTTGTTCCCTTCTGAAGTTCTGGTGCCAAAAATCATTGATTCGACACCCCAAAAACATTCCAATCTTTTTATGAAAATCTGTTTGTTACATCTTCCTATCATCCAGAGGGTTGCCTTCCTGTCTGTGACCATCTGTGACCCATCCCATCCGCGGCAGGTGGTCAGGATGGGCAAAAAAATATTGCCAGACCGACCTCTGGCCGAGTTGGCTGTACTGCAAGGGTCAATGCCATTGTGCCATGGTTTTTTGAAAAGGTCTGATGCTGACCCTGTAAAAAGGGGAGAGAGCCACAGAGAACCCACAAAAATGGGATAAATGGAGATAATGAATTGGGATGTTCATCAAACAGGGGAATACAATAATAGACAACACATGATAACATAACGATCATGAAATCAACAAGAAGTTTGTCATTGTTTCAATGCAGTGGCAACCTCTGCCATCACACTACCAGCTCCTGTTCAGAACCCAAAATGGGAGATGCCCTAATTTATGGCAATGTTCATACAACTGTGAGGTTTGGGCTACGGCATCCCACCAATGGGTGGGATATCTCTTCACTTCAGTTTGTTGGTCATCCTGGTCATCCGGCATCTGCAAGATTGGATACTTTGGAAGAAATTCTTTTGCACAGCGTTTCGGCATACTGTAGTATCATCTGACTTGGCAAGTGGCTCGGAACTACGCCTAACTTAAAAGAAGTCACCTACGGGTAGACCCTGTAACTGGATTACAGCCACGATTGCCAATCTTTGGGTCTCACCATGTTGGGTATTTGTTTGAAGCACAGGTTTGTTGCGTTTGTCTTGATTGATCAATATACACATATACCATGTATAATTATACATATGGGTATAGTCTGGTTAAGAGCCCTTTGCAGTGTTTGAGAACTTGTCATCGGATTCATAGAAGTTGTGCACTTTTTCACAGAAGTTGTCCGCGTTTGCAAGAAGTTGTGCACGTTTCACAAGCGCCCTAATAACTTAACTTTCGTGTTCAACTGCTGTGGAATGGACCGCTCTCGTTGGGGGCTCTTAACCAGACTATCCCGATACACACGTATACATAGAAATCATCAACGAACCCAATCTCGCAACTCCGTTGCCATTCATTATCTATCTCCCCATGTTCGAATATTTTTTGTGCTTAAAAACCATCAAAAAGCCCGACAATTCTTGGGTGATAAGCAATGGGTTCATCCCAGGCACTTCGCCGTCAAACGTGGAGATGTGGAGATGGCAAAGTCCAGATCTCAGATTCAGAGGTGAGATGGTGGGGTTTAGTTCAGGTTTTTAGAGAGAAATTATCCATTCAATATCCAGCCTCGAACATCGCGAATCATCCCCAAAATGGATTCAAATCTGGACCTGGAAGTGTAATCATTTGCCCAAGAGTATATGGGTCAAAGGTTGGGTAGCAATGGGCCTACAGCCAGGTCTACCGCTGCGGCCGAGGTTGTTGATTTCCAATAAGGCTGATGTACACAGCCGCAACGCAGAAGGGCGTCGTCCGATTGATGTGCCTTGGAGTGGACCAGAGTGGATCACTTTTGTTGTAAGGAAACAAACGGAGGTCTTTGGAATTTGATCAGTAGAAATGAAGAGATGCAGTGACGATATGATGAAATCAGAATTCTGGAAGCCTAAGATATGGGCCTTAGAATCTTTGTTTTCCACCAAATTGCAGTTTTTGGGTGTGTCCTGGTTTAGGAGTGCATTCCCAACATTGTTTTATTGCAACACTACAACCACTGTTTGCGGTTCCCCCTGCATATCTAACCAGGACTGGTTCACAGCATGAAAATCTATGCGTTTTTTGGGTGAAGCTCCGCAGCCCTCAGGTGGCACGCAGCTTCTTTGGTGGCCAGGTGCAGCATTCAGATTCCAAGCCTTGATATGGAGGTCTCCTGAAATGGGGGTACCCCCACATCATCCATTTTAATAGGATTCTCATGGATTTTCCATTATAAACCATCCATTTGGGGGTACCCCCATTTATGGAAACCCCCATATTAAGTGGGATATTGTGATATTGTGCCCCACTTGATGATTTTTGACGTCTCTGGACACCAGATTTTTAGATCAACGGCTTCTTGTATGACCATTGGTGACCATTGCTGCTGGATAATTTCACTGTCTCAGTGCTTCGTACAACAATAATCAACAATACGTACAAATAATAGCAGTATTTATAGTCTTTATGTTTATATAGTGTCTTGATGTTTCTTGTCCCATTTTTGCTGCACTCCCAATTCTCGATGGCTTCTTTTAACATTTTCTTGGCACCCAATTTTTCCGTACTCGAATTCTCCACCTTGGTCAATTGATGGTTGGCAGGTGCCGCAACCCTTGGCCGAAGCACTGTTGGCCGACACAGACTGCACAGATGAGGCCTGAAGATGGGTAAAGCAGGTGAGGTCATGTGAGTCATGTGATCATTTGCTATATAATTTCCATCAAAAAAAGTTGGATCAGAAAAACCAATCGGCCAGGATGAAGCGCAGCTGCACTTCGTGCCTCATGGGGTAAGGCACCTGAGGCACTTTCGCCAGGACATGGTGAATTTGGCACCAATTGATGCCGTCTTTATGGGAAACTATGTGAATTTCTGTCTAATTGATGAGAATTTTTGTGAACAAAAACTGACAAATTAGGAAAAACTTGGGAACATGATTGCAAGATTGGGTTTGAAGGCATCGGATGGAAAGGGATGTTGTTTTCCCCCTAAATTTTCAGGTACGAAACCCGTGTGGTGAACACTTGCGCGTTTTGCAGCATCTTTTGACAGGCAAAGAATCCGAAAAGATCAAGGAAAAATGCGGAGATGTGGAGTCTTATACAACGAAAGCAACAAAATAGTGGTTCTCTTGTGGAAACCTATTTCCTTCATTTTCCTTCTATTTCAGTTGGACTGTCCTTGTCTAATGACCTACTTCTGGTGCTCGCCAAAGTCAGGATTTGGCTTTGCTTGATCTTTTGGTACCCAAAGTCGATGGTTATCCGCGCCGTATATTCCCTCCAAAAGATTCCCATTCTGTGGTACCCCCCATGTTTGCACAAACTCACTTGATGATCTTATCTCCAGTTGCCACCAGTGTCCCCAATTGCGCATTACGCAGGAGAAACTGAGCGCGATTGAATCGGAGGGCAGCACAGCTTCCAGCGAGTTGGGGACTGAGAATTGTGGGAGATCCTTTCCCAGATATGGAAGAAATGAGTTCTAATATAGGTCAAAAATTGAATATACAAAGTATATTATATATATGATATAATACAATATACGTAAATAAATATAATGTACTATATAATTGTAATATATAGTATAAGATATTATATATATACATACTATATAATATGTAATATTTTATATATAACATAACATATATAATATATTATATATAACATATGATATATTATATATAATAGATAATATATAATATATCACATGTAATATATACTACAACATTAAAACATGTAGCATTTAATATTTAATAAATAATATGTAGTATATGATATAACACATAACATATGAGATACAATATATGATTTATAATATATGATATAAAATATAATATATATAATTTAATATATATAATATAATATATATGATATATTATATTTAAGATATAATATAGAGCATATAATATATAATATACAATATAACATTTACCGTATGATATACAATATATGATATAACACATAGCATATAAGATATAATATATGATATATAATATTTAATATATAATATATAATATCATATATAATATATAGTATCATATATAGATATGATATATGATATATAATATATAGTATAATAAATAATTGAATATATAATATAATATATAGGATGCAATACATAATACATCATATATCATATGTAATGTATAATACTTAATACTTAATAAATAATATATAATATTTAATACTTAATATATAATATATAATATATAATCTATAATACTTAATATGATATATATATATATATACATATATATATATATAACCTCATGTTCACGTTGTTGCATGAGGTTCAAATGGGATCAGAACCGGACCCCGAGGTCCGTAGCTTAGGTGAAGCCCTAGGTGGACTTCAACTTGAGCCCGTTGCGCCCTCGCCAGGTGATACTGCTGCAAACTCAGGCAGCCCATCCAATATCGGTGGCGACTCACCATCTGCTGCAACTGAGAGCTCAGAGGAGCCTGCTGGTGAGGCAGATACTGGTGAGCCTTTCAGATTTTACGCTGTTTGGAAGGTACCTGACAATAGATCTTCTTTAGACCTTGTGGGTATTCACACTGGTAGGGGGATTGCTGCCTATCGACAGATCATTCTGGCAAACGGTGGAGTTTTTGAGGGAATCAGATTTCGTCGTGCCCCGTCTTTGAGAGCTACCCAAGAACTTTTCTTGAGCGAGGCTGCACAGCACGTGTGGATCCACTCCGTGTCAATCATATCCATCAATGGGCTTGAAAGAAGGCACGACTGCCTTCTTGAAGTTAGAGGACTTCGAGCCGCCCTGGAGACAGGCGGTTCTACTGGCAAATCCTGGAAGTGGGAAAAGCTGATCTTTGCGGTCCGAGTGACAGCAACATAGACAAGGTCTGCTGAATCATCAGGATTCTCTTTTTTCGAATGTTCAGGGGAAAAGCTTATGCTAGTAGAAGGTCAGCAAAGTCAAATCAGGAACAATTGCCCTCGAGAGCTGCGGGGGTTAGAGGTTGCTCCACAGCGGATCTTTGCTGCGGGAAAGGAGACCTTGGAGCAGAGCCCGGACTTGCAGTACGCCACTGCCTCGGAGGAACTTCCTCCCGACATTCCAACCACTCGAGGTCGGGGAGCGAGGACAAGGCTGGAAGAAAGCTCGGAGGAGGACACAGAGGAGGAGGACGAAGCTGGAAGCGAGGACGATGTTTTCAAGATGCTACAAAAAGCCCGGAAGCTTGGAGCAGAAAGGGATTCGAGTTCAGGAAAAGATCGAAGAGGGCGGCCCACCAAAAGTCGGTCGCGCTATCAGCTCTGCGAGGAAAAGGCAACCGGCAGCCAAAGAAAGAAAGCTTCTACCAGTGGCTTGGAAGCCCTTCTTCAACAGAACATTGCCGCAGGTTCGAATGCTCTCAGCCCCGAAAACGTGAACCTTATGGTCCAGATGGAGCTCCCTGAAGGGAAAGTCCAAAAAGGAAAAGCTGTCCAGTGCTCAAGGCGAACAGGACGACAGTGACTGCAGCAGTCTGGAGAGTTCGAGCAGTCATGGGAAACGCGGAGGAGCAAGCAGAGCACTCCGCGAATACCGTCGCGGTCACCGCGAGATGAGGCGACACCCGAAAAAGCACATCAGACGTTACATCAAGGAGGTGGAGCATCATTTGGGTGCTACAAAGGACACCCCCTATCAGCTGTCAGACGACACAAAAAGGCTGAACTGGGGAAAGCAGAGAAGTCTGCTTCGAATCCACTATGCTGCCTCAGAAGTTCTCCAAACTTTGCTGCAGAACAAACCGGAACTGGCTGCGCTGGAGCTGGTGCAAGTGCTGAGGGCAATCCACCAGACTTGCCTGGATCAAGGTTCATGGAAAGCGAGCTGGCTCCTCCTACGATATCAGGATCCAGTAGATGTCCCGAGATTTGGAGGAGAACCACAGGATCTGGAGCGAGTAGCCGGCTACCTGGATGCTCTTCAGAAGCTGGAGAAACGATCAAAAGGCCTGGGCAAGGGCGATGTGGCCGACGAAGAAGGCGGAAAAGGCAAGAAGGGCAAGGGCAACAAGCAGAAACAAGTGAGCTACAGGACGACGTCCAGAGCCACTTGAATGATCCCGTGCATGTGTCATGTCAGAATAGGCCTCCACAACAACGCAGCCGCCTTTTTGACTTAATTAATAACACTAATGGATTTTTTGCTAGACTTTGTAAAGATCTATAGGTCATCAGTGACTAGGGGGAGTACACTCAACACCAAGTTTGAGAATCCTTCACTGTTCCCGTCAATGCTGCCCTGGCTTAGACCTCCTGGTAAGTCTAAACGTGGCAGACGAAGCCTGTCATCCGAAGTTAGATGGCAGGCTCTAGAGCGGACGCAGATGTTGTGGTGCCTGTTCAACTTTTTGGAGGCCGGTTCTCCAAGTAGGCGTCAGGCGGCAGTTGCGGCCACTGCACGAGCTGCCCATGGGACATGGACTGCCATGCATGAGGAGTTCGTAGGACAGTGTTTGACAAAGTTTGTTGCTATGTAGCCCAACTTAGGGGGACCATGGATAGAGGCTCAGCCAAACTTGAAGATTTAATTCATAGAATTCGTTTTAGCCAATATAACCCTGAGGTTGACCTTGATGAAGCTATGTGTGGTGCCATGCCTGTAAAGGCAGACAGAATCTCAGTTCCCGAGAGGGCAGGTATTTTGAACCCCTGTGACCATCTCTCACCTGAACAGTTGCGGGAATTCAAAGCTATGCCTAAGGACATCCCAATTCCAGGTCCTGCACCTGGAGACTGCAGAGCTTGTCATGAGGTGGACGAAGCTCAGTGGCCAGCTCTTTTGCGCAAGCTCCATGATGCTAACATGATTGAATTCCTTCCAGCTGAAGATGCATTCCGTGATGAGAAGGGAGTGGTAAAAGGGGGGGTCTTTTTGCAGTCCCTCAAAAACCAGAAAGCGATCGGTTGATAAATGATAGGCGTCCGCTCAATATCAGAGAAAAAAAGATTGAACTGGTGTGCACTTCCTTCAGGGGTGATGCTTAACCAATTGATCTTAGCTGACCACCAAAGTGTACGGGCCTCTGGCGATGACTTGAGCAACTATTTTTATTTGATCCGTCATCTCGATGCTTGGTTGCCAAGAAATTGTTTTGGTCATGCCATCCGCGGTAAGAAAATTACTTGGTTGAACCTGGAACCAAATAGGCTCTATTCCCTGTCTTTTAAGGTTGTTTGTATGGGGGACACCAATGGCGTGGACATCGCGCAGGCAACGCACGAGGGAGTCCTTAGGGCTGCCAATTGTCTGCGCCCTGAGCAAACCTTAGTGTACGGTAAGCTATTCCCACCTTCAGACACTTTAGAAGGTCTCTACATCGATGACCATTTAGTCTTCCAGGTTGCTGACAAGAATAAACATAGACCTCGTGAACCTTACCCAGATGAACATCTCTTAGCAGCCTCGCGAGATAGGTACTCAGAATTAGGGTTGCCTAAGTCTGAAGAGAAGGCTTTTGAAAAACAGTACACTTTCAAAGCATGGGGCACAGAAGTGTGCTCTGCCACTGGTAGAGTAGGTTGCCCACTGAAGAAACTCAGGCAGATCGAAGAGCTCACTTCCCAGCTTGTCTTGCATCGGTATGCCACAAAGAAAGCCTTGCAAAAACTAATCGGACTGTTTGTGCATCCTTTTATGCATCGTCGTGAATGCATGAGCATATTCCACCACACGTACATGCATACTGAAAGTTTGCCTGATGGGTGCAGTCGCAAGATTCCACAGTACGTGCAAGACGAGCTGATCACTGCAGCTCTTCTTCTACCTATGGCTTGTTCAAACGTGAGGCTCCCAGTCTCAGTGAAGGTATCCGCCACGGACGCTAGCTTGGGGGGAGGGGGCAGAGCTTCAACTTTGACCTCAAAAACCTTTGCTACAGCGCTGTATCGATACGGAGAAACAAAGGGCGAGTATACCAGACTGGACTGGAGCTGTTCTCCCCTGCCACCTGAGTCTTCAATGCAGAAGGCGCCAGTCCCAATAGTGGACTCACCAATGAAGCACCACTGGACCACAACGCAGTCTTGTAAGTTCCGTCAGAAACAACACATTAACTTACTTGAATTAGAAATGCTCCGTGCTGAGATGAAAGCCCGTGTTAATGCAGGGGGAGGCAGGTGTAGATGTATCAACCTATGTGATAGCCGGGTGGTCGTTGGTGCTTTTGCCAAGGGTCGCAGTAGTTCAAAAAGCCTGAGCCATGGGCTAAGAAGTTGTCTTCCCTGGTTGATTGCGGGGTACCTCCAACTTGTTAATCTTTGGGTAGCCACTGATAAGAACCCAGCTGATTTCCCATCACGCTTCAAAGATATCCCCCCCCTGAGTTTGCTAGTAATGACCCTTTGTTGGATTCAGCAGTACTACAGGGGGTGCAAGTTAAAGGGTCCACGGCAGTCCAGGATCTCCTGGAGCAAGAGGCTCGGTCTTGGAAAGTTGATCCCGTAAGATCGGGAAGTTGCTGCAGCCCGGAGTCATCCCCAGCTTTGGACACCTCACCATCCGAAGTTGAAACAAAAAGCCCACCTGCCGCCGATGACGCCAGAGCTCCATTACCCTATGCGATGACCCCGAAAATGTTCACCTTCAGAGAGATTTTTGCAGGAAAGGCCAGATTGTCCCAAGTGTTAAGCAGTAGTTCACGGTTTATGGTTGGTAATCCGGTTGAAATAAACCCCAATAAGCATGTCGGTAAGTCGCAAGATACCCTGGATGATGCATGCTTCAAACAACTACTGGCTGATACGAAGAAACCCAATGTGTTTTTTTTTCTATCCTGCAGCATTCCAACGGGGGAACTAGAAGGGTCACTTGTCCAGAAGGGGATGGTAGTTTACCCAGAGAAGTGCTAGGCAATAAATTATTGGAGCGAACTTTGATCCTTATAGATAGCCTTGAAAAACACGGTAACCTTTGGACTTTGGAAAGCTCAGCTTCATCCTATGCTTTGCACATGCCGGGTTTAAAAGAAAGAATGCCCGATGGAAAGCACCTCATAGCTCTCCTGCATCAGTGTGCCTATGGCTTAAAACTCAAGGATAGTGAGGGCAAGTGGGGCCCATGTAAGAAGCACACTAGGTTTTTGGGGAACCTCCCCACATTGCCGGAGCTTTCACGCATGTGCCATTGTCACTCGAAGCATGTGATGCAGTAAGAGGGGTGCGGACACCAGAGGGTTGGAAAAGAAGATCTGAGTTAGCAGGGCACTATCCATATGCCCTTTGTCACAAGTATGCCACCTTAGCAGGCCTCATTTTGCCGCCGTGAATATATCCACGCTTGGTCAACCGTTTTGGGGTCATAGTTTTTTACAACTGCCTGCCATGCACGCTGCAACTAATTAGTAGTTTTTTCAATATCCGCGGCAACGCCGCCACTTGAGCCATGCGACAGAAGAGGGTGCCGATTGTGTCCTCAGCAGTAGCCTTCAGGTTAAGTCGATTCTCCAAGCCGTATCATCAGAGGTTGCTTGCTGGCCTGCGCGATTTGCAAGAGTTCTGCGTTGCTGAGGCGCAATGTTCACTGACCTTTATCCTGTCGCATATCCACAGAGCTGATGAGCTGTTGGCAGAGTATGTCCTGCAGAAACACAGAACATCCGAAGGGCAGAAGCTGTATGTAGTTAAGCATGCACTCCTTATTTCAACATATTCAACCACGTCTGAAAGGCCACATTAGTACGGCCTGGGCCAACTTGAAAGTGTGGGAGGAACAGAGGACTAGCAAACTACGTCCTCCACTTCCTGTTCCCCTCTGGCTGATAATGATAGGCCTTGCCCGTGCCCATGCTACAGTGGTGTCTTTGGCTGAAGAAAAGCTGCAATGGAGAATCTTTGCAACACTCTTGCAAGTTGGCTTACTCTGTATGTTTAGACCTGGAGAGCTCCTGAAGCTTCACCATTCTGACATTTCTTTGCCCGGGGACTTCACTTTTAGCCAGCCTTTTGCAGCGGTGCGTGTTGCCAGCCCAAAGAACAGACGTCAGTTCGGCGTCGAACAGTTTGTACTGCTATGCAACCCCTGCACAATCTTGCGGCTTCGTGAAATCCTCAAAGACCGCTTGGATCTGCCAATCTGGAAGTATAAGCCAGTAGTTTTTAGCCGACTTTTCAAGAGCCTTTGCTATGAACTCAAGATTGCCAGCTGCCGCTTTACCCCTGCTAGCCTGAGACCGGGTGGAGCCACCATGTATTATAGCCGTGGGATCCCCATAAGCACTCTTAGATTCATGGGCCGATGGACGGTGGAGAAATCATTGGAACACTACATTCAGCTTGCCATGTCCGCTCAGATAATGAACAAACTGACACCTTCTGTGATTTCTCGGCTAAAGAGACTTAGCCAGTTGTGCCTCAGCCTTGTTGTGCCTTCAGATGGATATGCCTACTTAGCTCCACTAACTGCAGAAGAACAGAAGTCCAGCGCTGCCATTGCCAGCTGGTGCAGCCGGTATGCAGCACTGGAAGGCAAAGCATGCTGAGAAGGTTGTCGCTGGAGGAGCTCTGAGAGGGCTCAAGTATTCTGATCTGAGCCAGGAACAGCTCGGCCGTGCCGCCAAGCGATATCCTGCTGATCAGAAGTTACAAAAGTATGCCAAAGCAATCATTGCCTCTATGGAACTGGACGGCAATGAACAAGAACCAGAACCTTGTCTGCCGGTTGCTGTCCGCGAACAAACTGCGGCACACCACCAACCCACTCGTAGACAGAGGTGGCAATCAATGCTGAATGGGTGCTATCGGCTGATGCTACATTGCACACTGCTGGTGGTTCTGGTTGCGATTGCTGTGGTTTTTGTGCTCAAGCCTAGCCTGGCTACGGTCTGCACAAAAGTGTTCGTCAAAGTGGTGCGTCTTGTGCTTCGATGCATTACAGGTATTTTGGTGCTGCTGCTGGAAGGCCTTCTGGATGAATTGGTATACCAGGTTGAATTTTCAATCAGACAAGCCTTGCCTCCCAAGATAGATCTAGAACAAATGGCAAAAGCTCCTTTTACCCTTCTTTCGCACCTTATCTCAGCACTGACGGGTGCTGGGATTACTTTGTTGACCACTTACATGCAGGCCCGACGCGGCCAGATTCCTTTGCTTGAGTGATGCCCGCCATGCCTGTGGTGCATGGTTTTTTGTCCACCACCTCCCCGCCATCCAACCATGGGTGGATTTGGAGATGCCAAGCTTTTTTCGAATTTGACAGATCAGCTGATACCTTTTTTCGTGAAGATCTTGGCTTTGTCACAGCCGTGAAGCTGTGCACTGACAAACCGCTATAGCTCCCGCTTGCAAAATGTGTGCTTTGTTGGCTGGTGGCGAAAGGGATCTCAGAAACGGAGTGAACATACATATATATACATATATATATAATATAATATAATATAATTTAATATACACTATATAACATATAACATATCATATAAAATATATTTTATACATTATACACTATTGTAATGTATACATATATAATCATATATATGTAATCATATAAGTGCATATGTATCTAAACTTATGTGGCTTCCTTGCGTGACTATGGGTTTCCAGCAGATGTCATTTGGTCAGTTGGTAACTACACATCTTGGCCCATGTTCCAGCGATTTGATGTGAGGGAAACGCACGACTGTTGGAAGGACCAGGAACTCACTGTGTTTTGAATGGCAACAAAACTGATTCCATGTTTCCGTTTGGTTTTCTTGAATCAACTCCGTGACTGGGGATTTTACCGATTCCTGCATTTGAACCATGACATTGTTGCCATTCTCGGTGTCCAGGCGACGGTCTTCCACCCTCATTTCTCTGTGAGGGGCATGGGTCGTAACCGTCCCGGCTGCGTCAGAGAAATCACGAGAGCGGCAATTTTGATCTCTTAATTTCTCTCAGGATTACTTAACTTGCTGCCCATGGGTGAATATGAGTTGTTCACATCATTTATCATCATTTCAAATAGTCCCTTAAAATAGGTGGATGATGGTGGATGGGATTCCAACTTCCAAACTACTATAAATCACCAATCGCCAGTCAACCATTCGCTGATGGAGCTTCAAACAAAAATAGAAAGCGTGACCAAAAGAACATTCAACCATGATAATCACATATTAACAATGATATACAATTATAGTTATAATAATCATATACATATATATATATATATATTATGTAATCATTCAGTCTTAGTAACAGCTTCATCCAATCCAGCCAATTGACGATATGTCCGTTACATCCGCGAGCCGCGCCTCGTTACACTTAGCCGCACCTCGTTACACTTGAATTAGTCAGTGGTCAGCAAACATCCCGGCCTGGCAATGTAGGGATGTTGTGTCTGATTTTGAGGTTTTTCAAAATTTTGAGGATCTGGATGGATCCGGTGAAATGATCGAAAAAGAAACCAGAAACTTGTGCCATTTGGGGACGGCCAGGTCGTAAGGTCGGGTTTCGGTCGTTTGAATTTGGCACAGGGTGGGCCTCATGGACACCGGAAAAGGGCTGAAGGCGGTGTAGAACTTGCCAGGTAGAAACGTCATATCCTGGACGTGTCCCGCCAGGAAAACCAAAATTCTTCGGGTCCAACATTAAAATGGAGTAAATAACCCGTTCATAGATGGGTCTATGCTGGCACATTATTGTGTGGTTGTCCATTAGCAGATTTGATTGGTGGAGGGTAAATTCAAAGCTGCATCTGAATCTACGTGAAGGAGACTAACATTTCGGAACAGTCTCAATGGAAAAAGTGTGTATTTTAGTATATTTTACCACAGATCTGCTTTATAAACGGTTTATATATGTTTGTATAGCTGGGAATGTTGTCCGCCCTTCGGCACCTCCGAACCGGTATAGATCAACACCTCCATGAGGCCCACCCGGGGTCATGGGGGGCCCGGGCCCATGGCGATCAAGTGGATCATAGGTTCACCAAGTTGGATTGCTCTCAAAAAAATACAAAACTGGGTCCATGGAAAAATGTTGAGTATTCTCATGGGTTTTAGGTTCTGACCCAAACATTGGAGCCATTGACAGATGATGTCTCCGACAAAGAACAGGATCTCGTCATGTTGGTTTGTTCGGACGGTAGCATACGGTAGTGATTGCTTCAAGGTCCTAAGACAATTCCATCGAGGCACGTTGGTCATGTTAATTTTGTATCTAGCCATCAAAGGACAGGAATATCAACTGGTGGGGATGTGATACCAGAAACTTTTGGCCTCATCCCACATTGGTGGGGCCCCATTTCCATTTCTGAAGATTTGGAGTATCATCATATCGCCAAGTTGCTATCGCAGACCTATGCCATTAGCTTCAAACTAAGCACATTCAGATACTTGAAATATCTTGAAATCAAGGCCCAGTATCCGGTCGCTTCTACCATTCTGGTCTTTAGCCTTGTTTTGAGGGCCCGGGAAACCCAAGTACTGGTAGCTGACACTCCCGCGGGTATAGATCCATGCACCAAACTTTTTTTTGGGTTGTGGTTGTGCAACCCGGCATTCCGATTTTCCATTTGATACTGATTCATCTCCACGTCAAGACGAAGACCTTCAGCTAGTGATCAGTCCAGTTTTCAAATGGTACCTCTCAGTAGCATTAAGCCGATGATTTATCGATGACCAACCCCATATTTTTCATATCATATCCCTTCAAAAAAACAAGTTGATAAACCCTGTTTCTTGCTGGACATATCATCCTTTTTTTCTGGTAAACCCCCATCCGATTACGTCCATCAGCCCGATACTAAATTGGTGGGTTAAGCCACTTGACTACTATGCATAGTGATAATCGAATGATTATGTGATGACAACATTGATACCCCAATCATTGACCCAAGCACCACAGTGATGAGCCATTGGAATTGTATTCTTTAAAATTAATATCTTCCACATATCATAGTCCATTTAATTCCCAATGAGCCCAATCTCATTATTCATCCATTCAATCATCCATTCAATCCACAATGAGCCCAACTATCAACCACCACTATAGTTCACTATAGTGTCATGTTCATAATGTTCATAGTAAAAATCCATTGAATCAAGGGTTGACATTGAAATTGAGAAAAATGAGCTGAATCGGCTTTCAACGGATGCAGCTGAGCGTCTGCTTTGTGCGATGAGACGCAACACGACGCGAACTTCGGGACTTCTCCTGGACCAAGTGGTTCCGATCTGACGAAAATAATTACTGTTGGGATTCGGATGGTGTTCAATAAACAGTACTTCAAGGTAGCTGCCATGAAAATCGCTCAGAAAAAAGGGTTGGATGTTTTTTCGTAAAATGTTTTGAATTCCCTCATGTGAACCTGAAAAAAGTCGGCTTGGAAGATGATCTTTGTGTTGGATACGGTCATCTAATGCTATTTGTATATGTTCCATCGCAGATTTGGGTGCATTACTTTCATGAAACTTTAACTTCCAACAACCCAAAATGACCACGGTCCAAATTGAGAAAGATCTTTCCAAGTCTGTTCGTGGAGTTGCTGTGCTGAGAGGTGTTTCACGTGGGCACGCATAATTACATCTATGTGCAGGTACAAGGCTTGCATGTAGATGAATGGTTCAATAGTCGTTGAATGCATGTCCTTAATTGTACACTCTGCTATGCACACATACGCTCTTGGACAGCAAAAGTTGAGACAAACTCCTGCTAGTATTCCTCTAACGGACCTAAATGACTCAATGAATCCCACATTATTAGGATTCGATTCCATTCCCAAGGTACCTGTATGGTTATGATTTCAACCGGACATCGCTTTGGCCAGTGCTCAAGAAAAAGCATCCTGACTATGTCAGATGCTAGCTTTGATGCTTCCATCTTTCGTGATTCATCACCATCAAATACCCTTATAAAGCACCAAGAAAAGGAACGTCACCAAAACAATCATCATCAAAAGAAATGGCACCAAAATGTGATTTATATATAATACTATAATATATATACATATTATGTATATACACATAGTATATACAGTATATATACACATACATACACACATCATATATATATAATTTATAATATATTATTTTCATTTACACATACGTGTATACACATGTTTAAATACATATATATATATACACATGCACATATGTATATATATATACATGTGTATATATGTTTATACATTTGACTATATATGTACATATTTGCATATATACATACACATTATATAGTATAAACATATAAACATGTGTATATATATATATTGAGAGATATACATATCGATTTATGTATAATTTTATATTTGATTCATACAAAATAAAATATTGTAATATAATATAATGAAATGTGATATAGAATAATATAACATAATATTATATTATATAATACTATATAATGTAACAAGATATAAAATAATATAATCTGTTTTAATTTCATTTGATAATATCATTTGATAATATCATATGGTATTATGATAGGATAATATAATATAATTTAATATAATATAATACAATAGAATATGATTTAATATAATATAATCTAGTATAATAGAAAAATATAATACAATATAATATGATTTAATATAATATCATATAATATTGGAAAATATAATACAATATAATATGATTTAATATAACATTTGATATAATATATTATATATAATTTGGTTTATCATATAAGATATATACATATATATATATATACACATTATAATATAATATAATTTAATCTAATCTAATCTAATATGATATAATATAGTATATAATATTTTTCTAAAAATAATATATATATATATATTAAATATAATATAATTCATATATGTTTTTTAGCTTAATACAATTTATAATAGGAAATAATATAATAGAATATATAATATTTAATATTATAGATCTGAAAATGCAATACAATATTATATAAGATAACATAATATAATATAATATTATATATTGTAATATATATGCACGTATATATTATAATATGGATGCATATGATACAGCTTACATATGTACTTGTGATGATGAGCCCCAAGGACGGTCTATTGTGCTCAACCCATTGAACCATCCCGTCCCATCTCTTGACAGGGCCGGATTGCCAGGCCCACGTGGCTGCGACCGCAGTGCAGGAAAGAGACGCAACGCGAGGTACACCCATCAAGTATAAATTAAGAACATATCATAGGAATATGTAATAGGAATATGGCAGCTTCTCAAAATGAGTACCCCCAAATACCCCCAAATACCCCCAAATCATCAGTTTTCAAAGGATTTTCCATTATAAACCATCTATTTTGGGGTAGCCGCGTTTCAGAAATTACCCATATATAATGGGATACGTTTTTTAGACCAACATTCTGAAGGCTATAAAATGTAAACCTAATTATCCAAAATTCGAATCCAAACAATGACTGGTGATTTTTGAATAATGAATGTGCTGTTTCTCCTACACTTGGGGATTCCCCCAAACAGTTGTTTTTTTTTTTAACACGGAAAATAATCCTCAACACATTAGGATATATCCCATACATGATTTCGGATTTGACTCCAACCGAGTTAGAGGGAAGAAACTGATCATGTTAATCTCAGTTGGAGAATCTGGAGTTGCAGTGCAATA